TGTTGCATGCTTTATTAACATCGACAGGATCACAAGGCCTGTGTGTGTGTGTGTGTGTGTGTGTGTGTGTGTGTGTGTGTGTGTGTGTGTGTGTGCGTTACTCACAGCCAGCCCAGTGGGTGTGGGATGGGAGTCATTCCTCCAGGAGACATAGGATAACAGGCAGTGTGAGGGCTCCTCGACATTCCTGCTTCCCAAATAGAAGAACAGATCAGAGTCACAGAGGAGAGACTACCTGGTGCAGATGTCTGCCAGCTGGCAGCAAGAAGTAGGAAGCAGGAACGAGAAAGCAGGAAGTAGGAAGCAGGAAACCAGAAGTAGGCAGTAGGGATGCAGGAAGTAGGCAACAGGAAGCAGGAAGCAGGCAGCAGCTGCTTACCAGGCTCAGGAGAGAAGCCAGGAGACGCCCTCTGAGGGGAGAAGGCCTCTGGACTGTAGGACAGCAGGGGGCGGAGGTGGGTCATGTGGGGATGCTGCACCACAGGGACGCTGTTGGACTGGAGACGAGACAGAGGAAGCTCAGCATGTTGGTGTTTCAGCGGGTTGTTGCTGAAACACCAACAGCAATCCATCAGCGTCATCTGGAACTGATCAGGTTAATGCTGCTAGTGTAAAACAGCTGCAGCCCAGAAAACCTGCTTCACACTCATTTCCTTTCACTAACCACAAACGGATTTCATCTGACAGACATGGTAGAAGTAACAACAAAACTAATTTTTTATGTCGAACATCCACCTGTGTGGATTTAGTCTAGTTATTACATTCACACACACATCAGGTGAGTGTGACTCAAATCTGTTTTTTCACTGCAGTCTGAACTGTCTGATCTTTTCACCCCAAAAAGATTTGACCTGTGCCACTTCCACATGTCGAACTAAATTCTCTGGACATAAACAATGGCTGAAGGTTATAATGATTAGGAATTATGAACTTGTGAAAGCAGTTCGTGTCAGTGAAGCTCATCACATCCCAATCCCATCGCTCCTGGCTCCGACTACACATCCAGACTTCACTGAAACATTAAATGCTGTGTGAACGTTTTTCACAGAAACTTTTCTAAAGCTTCATCAAATAGGATGAAGCAGTGAGGAACAAAAGTGGCTCACTGATGAAGAATGTGGATCGTTCTGTCAACTAACTGCACTCTATCCTGGTTTACAGTCAAACAGGTGAAACTGTAAAATAGACTAATTTCTGGGCTGATCTTTTCATCTTTGTCAAACAATCTGAACAACCAAATGATAGAAAAAATAGCTTTTTGTAGAGGACATAAAAAGTAGTATCAATTCCAATTTTGTTTTTTTCTTAATTAAACTTGATTGAGAAATATTGTTTTGCTTCTGGACGAGGTTTAAGAGCCGCTGCTGGATGTGGGACGTTTCTGGTGAACCGCAGAGATCAGAAGGAATAGCTGAGAGGAATAGAGAAAAACACGTCTGGATGGGAAAAAAATCTCTTAATCAGAACTGTGACCATAATAATAATTGGCTGCACAGTAGGTAGAGCTTTTGTCTTACAGAAAGAAGGTTCTGGGTTCGATCCCCGCTTCCTCCCACAGTCCAAAAACATGACTGCCAGGTTAATTGGTTTCTCTAAATTGTCCCCAGGTGTGTGTGAGTGTGTGTGTGTGTATTGTTGTTTGTCCGTCCTGTT